ACAAAGACACTGGATGGAGATTCTCAAGGATTATAATTTTAGATTTAAGTATCATTCGGGAAAAGCGAATGTGGTAGCGAATGCTCTTAGTCGTAAAACTTTGCATATGGCCTATCTGATGGTTCGGGATCATAGATTGATGAAGTCTTTAGTTGAGACTTCTTTGGGTATAACTAAGTTCTCCTTAAATAATTTTAAGACTACGGTTAGTTTCAATAAATTTTGAAAAGAGATACCGGATGCTCAACTTTAAGATTCAATTTTGTTAAAGATAAGTCAAGACATTGAGAATAGTGAGATAATAGACTATTAGTTTAGTGATGATGGATATGTTGTTTTCAAGGATAAGGTGTATGTTCCTAACAATGAGTCCACTCAGAAGTGGTTGTTGGATGAGGCGCATCATAATAGCTACACCTTTCACCTTGGTGTTGCTAAGATGTGTCATGAAATGTGACATCATTGGTAGTGGTTAGGTATGAAAAAGGATGTCATCAACTATGTTAGTAAGTATTTGACTTGTCAAAAGGTCAAGATAGAGCACCAGAAGCTATCGGGGTTGTTATAGCCTTTAGAGATTTCTAAATGAAAATAGCACAATATTTCAATAGATTTTGTATCTGGTCTACTAAAAACCCAAGCTAGTTTTGACTCTATCTGGGTGATTATAGATTGTTTGATCAAGTCGGCACACTTCTTACCAATTAAGATCTATACGGTTGAAAAGTATGCCGAGATCTACATCAACGAGATTGTGCAACCATACGGGGTATTGAGGGATATTATTTCAAATCATGGTCCTTAGTTTACATCAAACTCATGGTGAGCTATGCAAAGAGCTATGAGTACAAATTTAAAGTTCAATGCATCCTATTATTCACAGACGGATGGACAAACTGAGCGGACGATCCAAACATTAGAGGATATGTTGAGATTGTGTGCCTTAGAGCTTCAGGGAAATTAGGATAAGCATTTGATTCTGGCAAAATTTGCTTACAATAATAATTATCATGTCAGTATTCAGATGGCTTCTTATGAGGCACTTTATGATAGATGGTGTATATTGCCTCTTTGTTGGTATGAGTTGAGTGAGAGGATACTAATAGGGCAGAATGTGGTAGATGAAACCACAGAAAAAATCACAACAAAAGCTTCTTATGGCATAAAGTAGACACAAAAGTTATGTAGATAATTGTCGTAAGGACCTATCTTTTGAGGTTGGGGATCATGTCTTTCTCAAGCTTTTCTCGTTGACGGGCGTTGGGCCCTTAATTTGGGCTAAGAAGTTATTTCCTCGACATATGGGTCCTTTTGAGATTTTGAAAAAGGTTGGGCTAGTGGCTTAGCAGTTGGCGTTGCTGCCTTAATTGGCGAGTCTACACAATGTGTTTCATATGTCATGGCTAAAGAAGTACCAGCCAGACCCGTTGCATGTAATAGAACCTAAGGAGGTTGAAATTTAAGAGCATTTAACCTACCAAAGCCGAACCAGATTGTATTATAGATGCAAAAGGTAAATAGCTCAGAAATGAGACAAACCAGTTGGTAAAAGTGATCTAAAAAGAGATGGCTCTGGGAGATGCAGCTTGAGAGATTAAGGATCAAATGAGGAAGGAGTATCCATAGTTGTTTTCTTAAATATGTTTCTCTCTTTGGAAATCTCGTGGAGTGAATGTTACCTGAACATCTTTTTGAACTCTTAGTTTATCTTTGATTCCAATCAAAATTGAGCTATCTCTTACATTTCTAAAAACTTCTCTTTGTACATTTTCTACTAATAGTTTTGAATCTAATTCAAAAGTGTGACCCAACACCAAAGCTATTTGAAGGCCCCTCAGTGTGCCCCATTGTTTTGCTTCCATCACGGTACAATTTCTGATAGTGTGAGAGAATCCAACAATCCATCCTCCTTCGTCATCTCGCAATAAACCACCACAATCAGCTTCATTATTGACATGCATGACTGCTCCATCAACATTTTATTGAACTTCAGCCATTGTGTATGGGGTGGCCTTTTTAAAGTTTCATCCAGGCTTATAGACTTCTATTGATTGGAGGACAGTCCAGGTTTGCCTAAAGGAGAGTTGGTTTTAATTTGTCAATGGCCTTTTGGAATTTTGCTACTGATAACTAAATTCTAACATTCATGAGCTGTAAATAGTATAATTCAATTCGTTTGTCAGCTTCAGTATATTGCAAAAATAACTTGTCTATTCCAAGCTTGAATTCTAGGTTTTGTGCATGGACAAGAATTATCTATGAGTAGTGTATTCATCAAGAGTAATAAACTTAACAAAGGGCAACTTCACATTCTTTTCTGCACTTTTCCTGTAAATGGTCCTGTCACGTCCCTAAACTGACACATTCATGTGAAACATTCCCATGATGTTCACTAATTTATATTTATTTAAATTACTAAACAGTATACAAGACCATCATTAAAAAACTTGACTAACGGGCCCTGCCTCTGAGAGAGGGGTTATTGATCAAGGAGAGAGAGAAAAGGACACCTTAATCCTTTTACTGAAGGAAACCCCACATATCTTTAAACGCGTGATTAATATTATATATTAAACTTAAAAGTCTGTATCACCAAAAGCTATGTTTTTTTATGTATTTAATAGCAAATTGAAAATCTGCTTTATGGGCAGCCAACGCGCTTGAATAATCCAGCACACTCCCTCTGCATTATCCTTTCTCTCACACTTTTTGACTGTTTATTGCCATTTCATATATGTGTGGTTGGGTGAGTGTAAATAATCACATGCTTCACAGGCTCGTTTACTTTCTGAGGGTTCAAGCTTGATTCAGGGAAACCTCACACACACACTAGTTGGGCTACAGAATAAACCAGGAAAGAAGGGGCAAAGTTTGTTAATGCGCCCGCAAGCATTTCAGTTATAAGAAGTTGGAACCTTGCTGTTACCTAGATTTTGTTGTCCTTGAAATTGGAATGTGACAAGCTGTCATCAATACAAACTATTCTTATAATTTATATATGCATTAAATAGTATGATAAAAAACAGTGAACTCTTTTAAGTTGTTTAAAGGATAATGCAATGCTAGTAATAGTGTCTCTCTCTGCGTGTGTTTGAGGGGAGGACTTTTTTGATCGACAAAGCATGCAGATATTCTTTCTCTCTTTCTTTGTGTGCTTAATATTAAATTATCAACGACATTAACAAAAAAGTTTAAAGCAGTAAGTCATAATAGCATATTATACTAGTTACATCTAATCACAAGGCATTTGATGAGTTAGCATTTGTGTCATCATTAAATTCTGAAAGAAATTGCTTTGAAAGAGGGTGTGGAGCTGGACCCACAATAAAAAAAGACCTCAGAACAAATTTGTAACATGCGTCACATAAGATCAATAAACTTGTTCCAAGTTTAATTTAATAAAAGAACAAATGGCCGGAGCTAAATTCATATTAAAGATTCTTTGTTGGAAAAGTAAGGTGCATCTTGCCTTACAATTACGTTCATACATCCATGGCAGTAACTTATAATTGAGACGTTAAGCTTATCAGGTTTTTGCTGACATCTGATCAACTAGTAAAAGAATTATATCTAGTATTAGCTATAGGAATTTGGAGTAAATAATTCAACTTTTTACTTAAAGAGAGATAAATAAACAAAAAGTTATTAGGTTGGGATTCATAAAATATCAAGAATAATGTAGTTATTGTGAATTTCTAATTATAAAAGTCAAAAGAGAAGATTTCACGTTGATATATATTACTCTAAAATTAATATAAGTAGATTATTCCTTACGATCCTATCTATAAGTTACTTTCATCATTTTCACCGAAATTAAAAAAAATGTTAAACCTCATTAACTTTGACTAAAAATTTAATAAGTTTTCAATTTTATTCCTATTGAATACATCTATTTTAAAATAAAATACTCTAACATTTAACAAGCTTCCTAACAATTAATAGGGGCAAAATGATATAGATGAACATGATAATCATTAAGGTATCTTACAATAAGATTAAAATAAACACTCTTTCCCTATCTTATAAATAGAACTAAAGGAGTATATGTTTGCATGTCATAATAACCTCTCAATTACTTGATGCACGTGATATATTTTTTCAATGGAAATCGAGTGTGAGCATCTTTTGCCAGGCACGCAGTTTGACATTGGATGATTACATTTTCTACAGTTATTAATAATTTTGCTTGCCTTAAACCTTCCATGCATGTATATGCATCAAATTTATAACTTTACTCCTATATAATCCTACTCAAAGCTTGTGCAGTCTAACACAACCGACCACTTCACCTATAAATTAAGTCATACAAGAGTCCTCTCCGATCAAGAAATTCTGAAATCCTGAAACAAGATTCCTTAATCTTCAAACATATCAGGATTTTTATTTTAAAAATTAGGAAATGAACAAGTATGGTGGTCCAATATAAAGCCTATCAAGCCACAACTCTACTTTCTGACAAATTAAAGGAGTATTAAGAGTAATCTGAGGTCCTTCATGTTAAGAGTAATCCAAGTCTTGCGTGTGAGTTTTGTCAAAGAGGTGAGAACGGTTATCGTACGTATTTCCCATGTCATAACTTAAAAAGCGTTTCATAACTGTCACAACAATGTAATGCCATTGATAGCTAAAACGCTCTCATCCACCAGAACATCAAAAATAAGAAGAATGAGTAATCAACTTTCTCGTGGAACTATGGTGAAAAAGTCATTAAATTTCCTACTGTGAGAAAATTAGATCCGTAGCTGAAACTGTAATTTAATATTCTTCACAGAAAAAAAATAATAAAGACGTGTGCTGTCTAGAGTGCAACAACAGAGTGATCAGTGATTTGTCAATAATAGAGGCTTCCTTAAGTCTTCAACTAGTGCTAGTAATCATGTCGCAACAAAGTTGATCACAACCCCTCTTAGCCCCACAAGGGGAAAAATAATCAGGGCAAAAATGAAAAGGATAAAATGCAACTTTGAGTCTTGGAACATCCAAACTAATCGCATGCCACTTTTTTCTCAGTTTTGCTCTTTCTCTTCCCTCTCCATCTTATCCACCTACGTCAAATAACGTAACTTGGATATCCTTTTCATTCTTCAAGCTTCAACTATGAAGGGAATGGATCTTTTCTGTTCTTCACATGCCTCCACAGCAGTAATTTCCAGTATGGATCACAGGTTTCAAGTTCGCCGAAGCCCCAAATCAAACGTTCATGACAGAAGGAAAAGCCAACCACGTGTCCCTTGTTCGTCACACTTCCCTATTAATCCAAAGCCTTACTACGACATGCAGCACAAGAAGAAGACTACTTCTTCTTCAGATAAGCTAAACGACGATGTTCGCAGAAAAAGCTGCGATGAAGTTAGCGACCTGTATGATAACCACCCTGCTGCGTATTCCTCGTCCAGGAGATATTTTCTCAGGGACGACGTCCCGTTCATTGATTGGGTGTCACAGTCTGATCAAATCGCAGCTACAGCCAAGAACGAAGATAATTCCCCTGCTCCTTCCAAGGACCAGGTAATATTTTCTTATATTAATCATCATTATTTAATATATTAATTTCTCGTTTTCTGATTTGATTTTTCTAACTTCTTTCGATTCTTGTGAAGTTGTCATTTTGCTGCTTGTTGTTAACAACGATCTAGTCGACAATTACTGTAATGTTTGAACTATTGCATAGGTTGTTGTCTTGAGGGTGTCACTGCACTGCAAGGGCTGTGAAGGAAAAGTGAGAAAACACATCTCAAAAATGAAAGGTGAGATCTAGTTCATTAATGCAACATGTTTATGGTTTTTGAGGTAACAGTAAAAATATGTAGATTTATTTTGGGGAAATTTATGTAGGAGTAACATCGTACAGCATAGATTTGGAGTCAAAGAAAGTGACGATCATCGGAGATGTGACACCATTGGGGGTGCTGGCGAGCGTGTCAAAGGTGAAGAAAGCACAGTTTTGGCCGTCTTCGTCGTTATCATCATCCTCTACGCCGTCGTTTCTATGGTCAACTATATCATCGAATTAGATATCTTATTTATGTTTATTGCTATCTTTTGATGTTTTTGGGGGTCTGAATAATTAATTACGAGTTTGACGAGTCATATAAGTCTTGTGCTTGTTTCATGTTTGTCTTGTAATCATGGGAAGTCGTCTCTGATTTAGATGCGTGGTAATGAAGCCTTGCTAATGGTGCATGTTGTGAAACAGAACCTGATTTCAGTTTATATCCATTCCCGGGTAGGCAATATTTTCACTGTTTCGCTGTTAATTCATGCTTAAATAAATGAATAAAGCCACTGCATCAAGGTGGTGGTGAATTGTCAAAAAAAGAAGAAGTGAAAAAAGGTCATGTTAATGAAATAGTAAAAGGAAGTTGATTAGCTTAATTGATGAAGAGGAGGAATATAATTAGGAGGTTGAGAGAGGAATGAAGAAGAATGGAAGGATCACATGGAAGTGGCAGTGGAAGAAGAATAAGTGGAGGAGACAGAATAATAAAGCATGCGAGACGGCAATAGTCGCAGAAGGCACTCAAACATCCAGTCTGGGATACACGTACTCACTCATTTGACCTTTTTCTCTTGTCTCTCTCCCCCCTCCAAAATCATTTCATTAGCGAATGATGAAACATGAAACGGTGGGGTAAATGCTATCGTTGTGAAGATCAAATTTTGCCGCCGCGGGGTTCCCTTGGGTCTCTCTTTTTCAACCCCCCGCCCAATTTACGAAACAAAAATAAATTTGGAATTTTACTTTACTTAGCTTAGTGTGTTTGGTAATTTTGATTTCTTTCACTAAACCTTGGGCGGCCGCAAAAACAAAATGCCTGGGGTAGGCATCTCGACCAACCTGTGTTAGGCATGATGTAATACAAGTTATGTGGGATATTATAATTTTGGTCTGACAAAACCAATTTAACCCTTTTTGTGAAGGACCACGCACGAACAGTATAATACTTTCGGTTCAAGCTGATAGCAACAGAAGGAGAAGTAGCACTGTAGCAGAATCCCAAGGAATACGCGAATGATGGTAAGCAAACAAATAACCGAGAGTGAAAGTTGAAAACGATGGGTTAAGAGAAAGGGCTTTGACTTGAAACAAATGTTAATCGGTTTCAAGTCCATGTATATGTGGTCTCAAGGACATGTGGTGGAGCGGAAACATGTTTTATGAATAGAAATCCGCACAGGATTAGAGCGAGGATGCTGAAATTGACGGTACTTAAGGCTTTTTGCTTGAAAACCAAGTCAACAGAAGCATGCATCCAAAAAGGGAAGGAGAAAGAAAAGCTAAAGGAAGAAACAGAGTTTATGCTTTCCAGGCATTGTCTTCAGTGATACAGAGGCTTTGGAGTAATGGAGTTTCATTAAGAAACACGCGTTTAAAGATCTGTGGGGTTTTCAATTCTCTCTCCTTCCTCACTCTTTTTTTACTCAAGTTTTTAATTATGAATAAATGTAAATCATTGAAAATCATGGGCCACTCTTCCAAGATGATTCGAAAATGCATGAGAGCACAAATAAAGGGAAACGGGGGGAAAAGGTAGACTTCATGGGTGAAAGATAACTTACTATTCATGGAATGTTGCAGCAACAGACGGTGCTCCACCTAAATCCACTATTCGGAAGATTTCCTGTTACCACATAGGAGCGCCAAATGTAAAAAAATATTGTGTGCGAATGTTGGAATCAGTTTTTCCTGCAATTTGTGACAACATTCATTTGTTTTAATTTGTTGGATAGTTTTGAAGGCAGTTCCAGGGCATGCATTGTTTTCCTTTTAGCAAAATTAGAAAAATCTGCACAAGGATCTTTAAATTTAAAAGAATCACTCATTTCAAAAGAGTACAAGCCCGTTAAAAAAAATTACACAGCTAACTAATTAGGAAATGAATATCAAATTCATGAATAATGATGAGCAATCTTGACTAATGCTCGAATCTGGAGTCCCGGGAAAAGTGACGAAGCCCAAATCCGCGTTGGATTTTAGTTTTGGGCTAACGGTGGTTGCGTTGATTGATATTTTCCTCACTTTTGGGTCTCTCGAATCTCGATGCAGTACACGCTTCCCGTAACAGAACATATAAAATAAAAAAAATCTACTTTTAATCGACTAGGCTCAGAGTCCCGAAAGGCCGAAACCCGTGTTCCAGCTGCAGAAAAAAAAAATAGAAAAAAAACAAAAATGAGATGAGAAAAACTTATGGATATTAAGAAAAATGGCAGCTAGCCAGCAACGGCTTGATCGAAGCGACAAAAGTTGGTATTCGAAGACTAAATTGATTAGTGAAAACGATAGAGCGCGTGAGATGAGATGAGATTTGAGATTCAGTTGCTCATATTTTAGATATATAGAGAAATAATAGTCATGATAAAGTAGAATTTCCTGGAAAATTCATCAAAAGCAGAAGACCAAATAGAAAAGAATACTGAGCTTCTAGAAAACGGAAAGATATATATTTATGTAAACCAAAGAGCCCTCGGTTTGTTGATGGGAGAACTATAATTCTATGCGCGTCCAGCTAAAGAGAGAATAGTGTGTGTTCCAAAATGGAAGAGCGGAATGAGAAAAATTCAACAATTGAAGCTGCACCCGACCATTCCGCACAGACCATAGGTATGTGAGGGTCATTTTCATTTTTCAACTATGGGAATGCTGGTTCTCGGATTCCTTTTAAATTACCTCAGAGAACAGAACATGCCTACTGTACATACATTTATTTAATTACGTGGTTCTGGAATTTAATGCGCACAGTAGGCCACACACAGTACCTGAGTGGTTGCCAGAGGTGTATCCACGGTTGAGGTTGTTTAGTGCTTTGGTTCCATCCAAGCCCCAGTTAATCTTAATTTGCCCTCTAGTCTAAACTGGTTAATCACATATCATAGCCACTTAACTACGTCCTTGCTTGCATGAGGATGTGCCTTCACCTTCTGACCTTTGATTTTGACCAAATGATGCTGGTTTCTCCCCAAATAAAAACATAATTAAAAAAACATCCATGTAACGAGCCTGTCTTTGGTGCCGCGCACCGTTTCTTCATTAAAAAATAAATTTGGGCAGTTGGTCCAGATTTTTTTAATTTATATTTACATCGATATTTTTATTTAGTATTTATTAAAAATGTATAAAATTTTTAATAAATATGTTAATTATTATTTTAGACAGCACATATTTAATCTAAATGATCCAATTTAATATTAAAATTTTTTTAATTTTTATTTTGAAAAATAAAATATTAAAAATAAAGATAGGCTTCTAATGGGTACTTCTTAAAAATATTTTTAAATCTACATTGTTTATAGTAAATTTGGATAGTCAATATTAAAAATTATCAAAATTTTGAATAATAAAATCGACCTTTTAAATTAAATATAGTCAAAATGATGAGGAATAGATTTATATAATTTTTTATAATTTTAATTTTACAAATATAAAATAAAAAATAAAAAAATAAAATTTTAATTTGCACAGTTCAAATCTTATTATCGAGCATCCAAGTTGAAGGCCAATGTGACCGGGAGTTGTCTCCCCATGCTCGAAAGCCGAGACCTGGATACTTCAGCAGATCGCGTGCGTGGCCATTTTCTGGAAAATTAATTATGTCTTCTAAAATAATGCCTGTCAAAGGAAACTTTTATTTAAAAAAAATTACATATTTTAATAGAATGTTATTTAAAGAATAAGCATAATCTCTCAAGAAAACTTAGAAATTACTGTTTACACTATGCATGGAAAAAATAGCTAATTATATATATGCTCTCATTAAAACTTTATTTTTCTAATAATAAAAAAATGAATTACAAAATAGAAAATCTAATGAATATATAGTAAAAAAATAGCCATTATTTATGATTTGATGTTACATGTCAAAGTTGGTGTTAGGCAATTCTTTATATTGGGCGGTTTGTGTATTATATAGGGTATAAAGAATAGTTTGCATTATTTACACTATTTCATTAATAATGCAGTTTATTATGAATATTATATTTATATGTGTAAATTTTAATATTTTTTTGAAAAATAATAGAAGTAAAATTTAAAAAATATATATCGTTTTTTTCCTTAAAAATAAAATAAAAACTTTTAAGATTTAAATTGACTAGACATGAAGTAAAAAATTTTAATAATAGAATATTAATTTTCCGATGAATCCGTCTTGTGGAATGCATTTCTGTATTGGAAACGCGTGATGAGCAGGATCCCAACTAGCTTAGTAGCTGCATTAAGCGTACTTTGCGTAGGCATCTAGCCTCGCGAAGAAAAGAACAAAAACATGCTCTAGAGTCAACATCTCGGATTTTCGGGTTTATAAATTCTCATCGTCTTTCCACATCCCTCCCAAATTCACCCACAAAACCAAGCAATTTATTCAGTAACATTCTCATTTGGAAGCAGAAGGAGCAGTTCAAGATCAGAGACTCGAACAAAATGCCCAGAAAAGGAATGAGAAGCGTCTTCTTCAAGCCATCACCCTCATCGCCACCCTCGTCTTCCTCATCTCTATGCACCTTTTCTGATTCGTTGATGGACGAGAATATTGACACTGCATGCTCTCTTATTACCAAATGGGATTCTGAAAGCTCCAATTCTCACGCCAGAATCACTTCTCTTTTCATCGCCAACCGCCGAGAAGCCAGGCAATACATCGACGCTGTAAAGGGCCTACAATCCGCTATGCAGTACCTCATCGCACAGGATTCCTCCTGCCAAAAGCTCGTGCAAGCTCAACTCCTCATGCAACTTGCCATGAAGAAGCTTGAGCTCGAGTTTCATCTTATATTAGAGGCAAACCGGAACCATTTGGATGCTGAATCCGTGTCGGGTCAGTCATCCACGTCTGATTCGAGGTCCAGCATTTCCGATTTTGACGAGGAAGAATTATCGTCGGACGATGATCGTGTTGCCGGTGATTACATCACGGAGACGGAGAGAGTATCAACGCTGGCAGTGGCAGATTTGAGAGCGATTGCGGATTGCATGATCTCGTCGGGATACGGTAAAGAATGCATCAATATTTACAAAATTATGAGGAAATCGATCGTGGATGAAGCATTGCGTCATCTAGGAGTGGAAAGTTTGAGTTTCTCTCAGATCAAGAAAATGGATTGGGAAGCGCTCGAGTTGAAGATTGTGAATTGGACGAACGCAATCCCAGTGGCCGTTGGAACTCTGTTTTACAGCGAGAGGATCCTCTGCCACCATGTCTTCCCGTGTTCAGAGA